TCTCTCTCACACCCCCCCCCCCCCCCCCCCTTCTGTACTGTCATGTCTGTCTCTCTCTCCCCTCACACACTCACGCACACACACACACACACACTCTCTCTCTCTTTCTGTCTCTCTCCCTCCCTCCTACACACGCCCCCCCTCTCTCTCTCACCAACTCACTCGCTCTCCTCGCCCTCCGTCCTCCCCTGTCCCTCCAGAGTTTTCCGTCCTGTGTCAGGATAACATCGTAGACGAGGACCACCGGACGGTGAGACCGGACTAAATGGAAGCAGCGGAGGAAACTCTCACTTACCTACATGACACCGGACTTCACAGGAAGCTGCTCCCAGGGGACAAGGAGGACAAAAAGAAGAAGGAGGTGGAGGACATTAAAGGCCACGAGTCCAACTATGTGGATCTGGACATGAAACCGGAGTGCGCAAAAACTGTGAAAGTGACTTTTACCGGCGAGGGGAACCAGCTGTCTGTCATCAAATGCGACGGCTCGAAGCAGAGTACCGGGGAGGAGTGGGGTGAGCCCCCGGTGGAGACCCAACTTCCAGACTCCGATCATGGCTCAGAGACCGACGGGGGGCCGCTCCAGGACGAGCTCGACCCGAGCGACTGCAGCGAACACGTGCGCAGCGAGAGCGACGAGCTCCAGTACACCGACATGTACCTGAACAGTAAGACCGAGTCAGACGACGGAACCAGCGCCGTCCTGTCCGACCACAGCGGCTCAGACACCGTGGAGGACGAGTCCCACTACATCACGACGCATGAGATCCAGCTGACCGAGCTCGACCACGACGTCGACTACGACCTGGGCCGCGGCACCTGCTGGGAGTTTGAAGACGACAACCTGGTTTACTCATTTGTGGATTACGCGTCTTTTGAGAGCGATGAGACGCAGGAGGGGACTCTGGTCCTGGAGGGCAGGAGTCAGGGCAAACCGCAGGCTAATCTTGGGGGAGCGGCTGTCAGCACCGAGCAGGAGGAAAGTGATCTGTGCGCCAGCTCTGATGAAAGCGTGTGCAACAAAACCGAAAGCGGAGACGCCAATACTGGGCAAATCCATCTATCCATAAAAGCCACCTCCAGAGCAGTGAACGAGCCGGTCTGTGTCCCTGAGAGCAGCACCTGTGGTTACGCAAAAGACTTTGGAGACAGGAGCCACTTCTCCTTCGTTAGCTCCGGCGCCAGAGCGGGGCCCTTGAGCGATAGGGCTCAATATTTCATCCCCGCGCCGGGCCGTCAGCACCTTGCAACCAAACTGAGACGGAATGAGTATTCCAGCGGAGCCTCCAGCTCCATCAGCGAGCTGGATGACGCTGATAAAGAGGTGCGTAATCTAACCGCCAAGTCTTTCCGCAGTCTGGCATGTCCATACTTCGATGCCATTAATCTTAGCACCTCCAGCGAGTCCTCCATGTCGGAATATGGGCTAAATAAATGGTCAGCCTACGTGGACTGGAATTATGGAAACATATCGCGGGGGGGAGAGCGCAGCGTAATTGCGCACAAGACTTCCAGCGCAACAGTGGAAATGAATAACACTGTGGAGAGTAAGAGAGACGGTAAGTCCACTACAGACACGAAATCACCACAAAGCAAAATGTACGCACTGAACAAGAGAACAACTTTTCAACAAGCTTCGAGCAAAAAGATCCACGTGAAAGATCCAGTTCAGCCAAAGCAGCGAGGAGTGACACTGAATTTCCTCTGTAATGTTGAAGCCCCTGAAGGCACCAGGCGTCCAAAATGCTCCAAGAATTCACGATCCACCGAGGATACCGGGGCAGTGTCGGCCAGATCAGGATGTGACATGCAGTATCATCTCACTGAGAGCACAGGGGACACGCACAAAAGGGCCATTTTTGCATCAAGTTTGTTGAAAAATGTGATTTCCAAGAAGATGCAGTTTGAGCAGGAGCGCAAAATGGAGAGGGGTGAGATCCGTGACAGACAGAGGAGTCTGGGAAGAGCTTTGCACAGACAAACCTCAGAGTCAGGCTCAGGGCTGAGTGTTAACTCTGCTGATGATCAGCACCTGGAGGACAGCAGACCCAGTTCCTGTGGGCCTGCAGACGAACCGAAAACCAACAAAGCCCAAGAAGAGTCAGAAAAGGGACAACATGAGTCTCCAAAAGTATCACTCAGCCACAGCCAGAGCAGTGCATTCAATTCAGTGAAGGCAGATGAGCCAGAACCTGTAAAGGAGGCTGAGCCCACAAGTGACACACAACACACTGCAAAGGACGGATTAGACACCAACAGCATGCTGACAAAACTGCTTTTTGTTCCGAGCTACCAGCTTCACTCAAAAGAGAAGGGTTTTGCAGAAGACATGAGCCACACACCTGCCACAGCGGACGGCCTGCAGAAATTTGAAAAAGACGAAATAGGAAAGGGGGGGAAACCACCTGAGATAAAAATACGCCTGAGAAGTGTGAAAGAAAATAAAGGCTGTACATTGAATATTGCCAGCCTGTTAACCCCTAAAATAAGTTACAACTCTGTTAACACATTCAGGGCAGCAGGTGATGCTAAATGTCACATTCTATCTACAACAGATAAAATGCCAAACTTCACAGTCAGAGACATAAGAGACACCAAATGCAAGTTTCAAACGCCGATTTATCGCGTCAGGGATGTGCGTAAACTGGTAAAAAGCTCATATCGCTTTGTTTCTCTGGACAGTATTGAGAGTAAATATTCCACAGCAGCTGATAAACTTGAGGAAAAGGGCAAAACGGAGCCAGCGAAACGTTTATTACCATCTCCCATTGTGATTAAATGTCACTCTGTGAAGAAAAATGCTAAATCACAGGCCACCGAGGCATCACAGATCCAAGCAGGGCCATGTGAAACAGCCCAAAGGGAAAGTGCACCATCACATTGCATGACGGGCAGGGTGCCACCTGTCGTGTCCAAACAGCTACACACTGACCAGTCAGAAATCCAATCAAACACTGAAACCAAACTGACAAAGCAGAGGCAGGTCCCAGGGGAGACAGTGGATAGGAGGAATGAGCCCACGATACCAAAACAGGCTGCTATAGAAAAGCTTAAAGCTGCGGTCAAAACAATGGAGCAGCTTTATGTGTTTGATAGAAATGAATGGAAGCGTAAATCTCAAGCTCCACAGCCCATCACTGACAGCCATGTGCTCTCACTTATAGCCAGAGAGGAGCAAGGAGGAGAGCAGCTGGAGGCAACGAACACCGACAGGGTCCCTCAAGCCACAGAAACAGGCAGAGCTCAGGAACGTGAGAGAGCTGTTGATATAATCCAGGTCCCATATAACACCGACACTTTTAAAACACAATCCCAGCCGGGGAAAATATTTAGCAACAAAAGCGTCCTTCATTTTGGCAATGGCAAACAGCCACGTGTCAGCATTAGTTCAGTCAGAAACTCTATTCCACAAAGCTCTGCTCCGCAAACATCATCGACTATGAAAAGCTCCAGGGCACCGGCGGCTCCTCTGTCGGTGAAAATAGAGCCACTGAAACACGTCCAGGTGCAGCAGGGAAAGGTCAAAATCATTCCCACTAATCCCACTGTCACACATGGCTGCACAGACTCCGAGAACTATTTAACCATCCCGGGGATGGGGTACACAAGTGAAATCAAACTCTCGAGGGAGGGGAGTCAAGCCCACACAGGTGATGGCAAGACACCTGAGCAGAAAAGGTCTCCGTTAATCATGGAGTACCCATCAACGAGCATCTATCATCACCCTGCAGCAGCGACGACGACAGGGCCGCAAACCCAACCGCAGGTGTTGTGCTTCTCTCCCACTATGTCTATGAGCAGAGAGGCAGCCCCACCGATCCAGCGCAAGATGCTTTTGGACCCCACAACAGGACATTATTACATGGTGGACACTCCCATACAGGCCACCACCAAGCGACTGTTTGACCCCGAGACAGGCCAGTATGTGGACGTACCCATGCCCCATTTGCCAGTGGCCCCTGTCAGCCCTGTGCCTCTCTCCTTGTCCCCCCTGACACTGAGCCCAGGAGCGTATGCCCCCACCTACATGATCTACCCAAGCTTCATCCCCTCGCCCACTCTCCAGGCTCAGGCCGTGCCGCCACAGTCTCCGGGCCAGTCTGAGGATGCAGGCGGGGACAAGGTAAAAAATGCCAGAAGTCCAAGGCTAGAAAAGAACACAACAGGTGCAGAGAGCGCGTATTACAGTGCAACGGGAGAGGCTCCGCAGGGGCCACTGCAGCTACCTGTGAGTTTGGGACATGTGACCAGCAGAGGAGGCGGAGCGAGCTCAGAGAGGAAGCCGGTCATCAGCATCACAACGCAACAAGGTCCAAGAATCATCGCCCCTCCTTCCTTTGACGGAACAACAATGAGCTTTGTAGTGGAGCATCGGTGACCAAGGAAACACCTCATCATACATGTAAGTTCCACTTTTAGACTGACACTTACTGTGTGAATGATGAACACAACTGTAGATTCCTTCTAACAGACACAGTCGATCAAGACAAATACGAACTAGAGAAAGATATTCACTGAATCGGTGCATTTGTGTGCAACAAGGACAGTTGTGTAAGCCATTGAAATGCAAGTTTGCAAATATCACAATAAGCAATGGAAAAATTAATTGAGTTAAATATTATTCAAGTACAGTGTGAGTAAAATAAGTTGTATTGAGAACAACTTAGTATAAAACCAAGAGACATATGCATCTCAACTCTCAATGAAATGACTTTGAGATGACAGTTTTCAAAAAGACACAAATACCTGCATAAATGTACTGATATACTTCAGGAACTTTTACAGGACTTCTTTTTCTTTGTAATTTCTGTGTTGTAAATGCTGCTAAATGAGAAGTCTGGCGTGGACGCTGCAGTAGTGGTATGTCAGTGTTAATAGACATGCTGTAGCTTCTTGACAGGTAACCTTACTCCACGGAGCTCAGGCCGGTCTCGCTGGGAGATTGGATGTTCAGTCACAGCTCACACCAAGTTGGTTGAGTTCCCTTTTCTCTGCATTACACACCGTCGGGCTATTTTGATAGCGTGCGGCGAGTTTGTTTACACGGTTTATTCTCATGCCTGAAAAGTGTCACAGGAAACTATTCCAGTCAGTGACACCTCCATCAAGTTATTCTATAATCGGTGTTGTAAAATGCTTTAATTGCTCAGATAACATTACACTTCTTTAATGTGTTTGTTCCTTGTTCATGACATTTCGTGAGACTTTCTCACAGCTGAATGTGTTGGAACAAACTTACGTGACGTGAAACGCTCAGCCAACAGTTGGAAGTCCAGAGAAACAACATAACATACAATTTCTAAACTATAAGCCTGTTCGTTTAAACAAATAACAGCAGCATTTTATATGACTATGATTTGGCGCTATACAAATACAATTGAATTTGCTGTTTTCAACGATACAGGAGGTTGTTCATGGATTGATGGCTTAATGACAACTTACAACACAATCATACAGAAATAAAAAAATTATGAAACACTTGGAAAGAGTGATTATAATTAATACAAATTATATAGTTTAAGAAACATTTTAGCATGCTAATGATTATTTTATTTCCACTACACATTTAATGTCCCACTGAACCAGTGTAAAACAAAATTTGGTTGCTTCAGGTTTTGCGCGCTAAATCAATAAACTCAATGTACTAATGTAAGTTGTGGGGACTTAATGGTGGCAACAAACAAGAAGCAGATCCCAAACAAGCAAAGGCTGCTCATGCTCACACATCTTAAGGTCTTATCAGGAAAGAAGCTCAAGTTCTTAACTCCTCATTTAGGATAATTAAATGATATTGTGATGATGTTCATATTACAGTATTAACGATATAGACTCTTAAGGTAAAACCAGTATCTCTTCATTCTCTTATCAACATGAAGCTCCATCAAACTTTGCCTTGTGGCGACTATCGCTTCATAGCCAATTACCAGGCTATCAAAAACGATCTTTCTTCTGTCTCTTTTTTGAAGTAACATCAAAGTCAACTCAAATGTAGCTTCTATTTCCATTGCTTCTACTTCTTTGTTCCTGCTGAAGTCAGCATGCTAACCAGCTAGCATCGACCCCACCAGCTCATCTTGTTATTAACGATTGCGAGTAACTGTAGCGTTTGGGCTGACCTCAAGAATTAGCACTTCTTAGGGGGTGTATTATAAACACGGCTCTTGTAAATGAAACGATGGCTGAAGCTCTTGGCAAGTGAACATCCACAAAACATACTCCTGGTAAGAAACCAGGTTCTGACGCAGAGAAAACTTACAAAGAGTACCTTTAATAAAAGTTTTTTTTTATTACAGACATTTTCATATTGCAAGAAACAACAGGTGTAACTACTGACATTAATCAGGTGTCTGTTACATTCAAGTGTCTCCCGGCACAGAGCTCCAGACAGCTAAGAGAAACACTAATGTGCTTCCAGTTGTCAATTTGAAGCTGGTTTGTGGTGAAGCAGACAGTAGATCATTGCTGTAACCCACTCGATTGGAGTTTTAAATGGGAATAAAAAGTACCGAAAGATAGAAAAATAAACCCTTCTCTTCACCAAACTGATAATTAACTTTCAGTTTCTCATACACCTATAGATACACACTTACAACTGGTCACAGTCCATTCACAGCTAACGTGTCAGTGCCATAATACAACTGCATGAGGGATAGATATCAGCTGGGTGCGTGGCAGGCAGGGGCCTTGCATGGGGTTGAGTAGTGGTGTGAAGGGGAACACAGGGTGTGTGCGTGTGTGTGCAAGTGTAGTTCGTGGGGGGTAGTGGTGGGGGTCTTTCGGGCGGAGGGACGTGGGGGCATCGCTGAGATAGTGATGCAGGAGGAAAAGGTCAGGCAATGTAAAGTATTTGTTGTGCTGATGCAGGGAGAGGACAGCTGCTCGGAGAGATCAGATGCTGCTGCAGCTCCAGCTTGGAAGCAAGTCTGCAGGGCTGAGATGGGGTCAACTTTTTATAGCCCCCTCCCCCTCTGCTTTTTCCTAAACAGGGAGAAGGAGGTGGAGAGCTCTGCCGACCTCCAGCACTCCTACGTAAACAAATCGAGTAGCGTGCCCCCAGAAGTGAGCTGGCTGAATCTGGTCAGCTGGGCACAACCAGGAACTGCAAAGTGAAAAGTCACTGCATTATAATCGCCCTCTTACGCAAACCGAATGAAAAATAAATACGGTTTCCCTCTTAAACACAATTTTGTTTTCTTTGCATCAGTCTAACTAATACTTGAATATTAATAATTTCTTCTTTTTTTAGACATCTCCTGTCAAGAAGAATCTGGATTCAATCACCGTAAGTGCAGTACTTCCCCAGTCACTCCACCCTGCGATCCACTCCCCAGGACAACTTCCAACCACAATTTATACCCCCACTTTGTTGTGTTGTTTATCTGTGCAGCAAACATTACTGTATTCTCTATGCATTGCAGCACTTTGTAGGGTACATGGATTCAGCCGAATCCTCTGGCTGATGCTCTGCCATGTTGCTTTATAAATCAGCTTTGAAATACTTTCCATTCAGCTGCTGTTTAGAAATCGTATCTCTGCTGAAATGCTGTTTGGGCCCCACATCATGTCTATTCAAAAGGAAACAAGGCAGGTCTTCTATTAGAGTTCAGTGTCACTCATCATCGCCAAAGTCATTATTTCATCACGTTATGAGTTAGACTGTCTTGAAAGAAAAAATTACATTCTCCTCTTACCAATGAAAAAGTTTACTCAAGTTGTAACATGCAACCTTCCTCAAGGAGACATTACCAGGAGACATGTTTGCTGTTTCCTGCATGTGGTGTCATTGAATCTGTTCTAACCATGGATTAAAAAGAGCTGAATACATCCCAGTGAGTTGCCATGGCTGCCAATTTATTACTCTTGGCCAAACATGCAACAAAAAAAGGCTATAGAGAAGGACATTTATGTTAACAGTAGATTCAAAATGTAAAAATGGTTGGTCGGAGTTTTTGCTGAATGAATTGGCAGTGTATCTACATCTAGTATCTGGTCATGAATTCATGGTTCTGAGTAAGGTTGCTATTGTCTTTAAAATAAACTACTATCTTAGAAAAAAAGGGGAATTCAATGTGTTCACTGGAAGTTACGTAGTCTTACATTAATCGACACAATAAGATAATTTATCACAATAATTACATAATACAATGTGTGTTTTACACAATTTTCTCAAGAACAGGGACCATATGTCTGCACTGAACCAAAAATATGCAGTAATGTTGAATTACATTATATTTTCTATCATTGTAACTTCAGTCAGAGGAGGATTTGAAATGATTTCAGGATTTCAAACAAATATATTGTAGAGTTTTCCAAGTCAACGGTAGCCAAATTATAAATATGTTACATTATTGTGTATGATGTTACTACCCCATCACTATTTTTTCACATTCACAATAACATTTCCATGTTTGTAAGAGTCTGTTGCTCACATTCTACTAAAAGTCCATGGTTCATCTTTGTCGTGACTCACAAAACGCTGCTAATACCTGCAGGACTGATGTGCTGTGTGAATTGTTTGTTTAATCCTAAACGCACTCATTTTGTATGTTACAGTGAAAAGAGAAACACAGAGTGTGTTGCTCAGATGTAGCAGAGCTGGGACTCAGGTTTAACAGTGTACTTAGATCATTAAGTAGTGTTGGGCCTAATGAGTCAGAACCAGCTTAGACATTTAGGGGATAACTTCCTCTACTGGTCTTAGTTTATTTTACACTTTTGTGTAATGAGATGGGAGTGTGAATGTGTGTTTGTGGGTGTGGGTGTGAGTTATGTATGGCATTTCAGCATTCTGTGATCGTACCACAGGGACTCATGTTACTTCACTGTAGACAGTAGTATACAGACTGTACATGTGCTGTGTGTGTCCGTTTCCCTTGTTTAAACTACTTGACCTTTTGCTTAAATGTGCATAAAGTGAGGTTTTCGGTATATTATACATTAACTGATTACACTCGGATAAGAATTGAAAAAAAATTGTTTTGCTTTATACACAATGTAGTTCTGTTTCCTTTTGAATACACATTGGGGCATATAGGCCATTGTGCTTTACTTGACTCCGTTTCAACAGCATCCCATGTGGGAATAATGCAAAACATAGATTGCTGTTTTTAGCATGTTTCAAAACTAAAGGTATTTGGAGCTGCTGGTCAGTCTGTGTACCTTAATTCTGTAAAATACATATGTTATTATGCCTCTGTGAAAACAGACTTTATTAAAATAAAGTACCCTGTGAGTTGATTATGAATTCATGCAGTGATTTGGAAGATTTGTTGTTGGTTGAGCAGTAGATTGGTTTGCAAATTGCTGTTGCAGCATTTAATGCATTTTGAGGTGAAATCTAATTCAAAATTTGAACATT